AAACATTTACAGAAAATATGTTGTACTAATTATACTATCTAATCTACTGCCGAGAGAATTATGACGTTCAATAGAACATGTCATAATGAATAGTTTTCATTCATAAAGCAATGATTATAAAAAGAATATGAAGAAGAAAAGCATATTTAAGCAGACAACTACAGGTTTACATATTTTTATTTAAGTAACAATGGTTATTGAAACTATTATATTCGGGGCTGTTTAAACATATAGGTATTCCTTTACTTCTTTGTGTATGATATTAAAAAAAAGAAAAGACTTAACACATGAAATTATTAAAGAGGAAGGCAGTGCAGCATTAATAAATATTATTTTTTAAAGTACATTGTGTTTTTATGTAAAAATTAACAATACCTAGCCTTAATTCAAAAGCACTTTTTTGAGGCACATTTCATTATTGCGCAATATATGCGAAATGTGTCGTTATCCTTTTCTCAAATGTCAATTAAAAAGAATCGCAAGAAAAGTAAAAGGGACCCCGAGATAGTTGTATATTTCCAAATTACAAATAAAGGAATCGTAGAAGGGGGAAAAGGTTGAATTTGGCAAATATCGCGGAAGAAGTAAAAGTCAGACAGTAAGCCGCAGCCGCAGACTTCGGGATATTAGAATTTTCCCAAAGGTCAAATTATAAAATGAATAACGGAAGGAGTTTAAGCTAGACAATAGTTAAATAGCCAGGATGAGAGGATTGAGAAAATTTTAAAAATAATATTTTTAACTATAAATAACAAACGACTTCAATTTCCATCTGTAGGGAAGGCTTGTGCTCCGGCAGCTGGCTGAAGGACATTAAGAGGCTGCTAATGATTATTAACTCTTTGAATAATGGAGGCCAAATGACGGCGTAGGTATTGCAGAGGCTCGAAGTTGTGAGCCATCTCTACATTGCCAATGAATGCGGATCGTGCGAGTTGTGCACCCCATTCAAAACATCGAGCAAGTATTTGGCAAAGCCAGTCAGAGGTGTTAACAATAATATCAGAGTACAAGATACAATCGCGGCTCACAGAGTCTCAAAATTGCGTCCTTATTAGCATAGTTTCGATGTAATCGTGATATTAGAAAAGACACCCAACGATATTGTTGGGACACCCAATACCTTCCACATTTCTTCTGTACACCGATGACAAGATCATCAAGATAGCAAAAGAAATAATTCAGGTCGCCTGCACGCAATGTTTAACTCACTCATACTCAAGTATGACTTTTTAGTCAGATGTTCCATAAAAAGGGGCAATTTTGTTAGTCAGCGCACAAAATTACTAGTACAACTCCTTAGAAGCAGTGGCGAACCAATAGATCAAAGCTACTAAGGCAATACGTACTACGTGGCTTTTCCAACAAAATTGCACCAAGCAAGACTTTTACTCAATGTTGGCAATCAATTTATCACACTTCTACTGGCAACAAATTATTACAAAAAATCTTTCATTTCATAGTTGGGAAAGAGATAACAGTAGTGTCAATGTGAAATAAAATATAATAATGGGAAAGCGAAAGGAATAAAATTAGAAAAATAGCCCCATGAATCCACTCCATTTCATCGCTTAACTAAATGGTATTGATAGTCGAAAAATCATGAAACACGTGTTTGTTTCTTCACCTTTAAAAGTACTCTAAGAAAGTTGGAAGTCAAATTGTTTCGCCATACAAACTTCGTAACCCCTTTTTACCTCTTTTGGAATTGAGTTTTGAAAAAATTGTACAAATACGGCATGAAGGGATCCTGTGTGTAAAAACTTGGATTTCTAGGTCTTCAGGGTTTGGTGTGCGCGTGGATCAGAATTTAATCCTTATAGGATTCATAAACGGAATTTCTGAGGGTTTCATGTGAAAGTTGATGAGTTAGTGAACCAGAATTTACCCCATTTCACCTCCTAAAAGATTGGTTTTCGGAAAATACGAAACACATGTTTCTTTATTTACTATAGGAGAAATCTTACCACGCTTTCAGTCGAGATATCTGAAATCTGGACCCGAGTAGGAGTTTTTCTATTAAAATTTTCTTTACATTTAAACTTCTCAAGCAGTTCAATGCTTAAAATAAAAATATAATAATCAGTTGTCTATATATTAATAAACTGATAGCTGTGTATAATAGAAAACATTGTTTCAAAATGACTCGTATAAATTGATTAAACTGCTAAACTGACAATGGAATTACTAAGAAGTCTCTTTTCACAATATGTTGTCCATTGATATATTTTTAAGTAAACTTTTAATGTTCAAGGTTAACAAGATTAACTACCTACTTGATACTAAGCGAGGACAGTCGCGATCCCGTGTTGTTTATTTAACCGTTTTCTTTAAATGCGAATAATACGACGCGACTCGCAGCACGGCGCGTGTTTGTATATTTTTTGAAACGATGTTGAAATGGCCCTGGAGAGAACTGCGACTCAATATTAAAGACAATCGATACTCAACTCAGTCATGTTTCTATTCCTACATTCATTGTGGATTGCAGTAACGTGGTCCCCAAAATCCCCTGTTCCGATCCGATGCGGTGCGGTGTTCAGCTTGCGTGCTATTTAACCCAATTTTCTAGTGCGGGGGCATGCAGGAGGGAAGGAGGGAGGACTCGGCGCAACTTCAGCCGCAAGTGTGCAGCGCCGACGAAGAGTCACGAGATTCGAATCCGAGCTTGCATTATTGATTACTTCTAGTTTGAGCACATCGCTACGAACACAATAGAGCATCATGATTTTACCCATTTCGTGGCCAAACGCGTTCAATTGATAGTTTATCTAATCTAGAAAAATAAAGTTATAACTGTTATTATTCGTAAGTACATCACGCATTAATTCTATTTGAATATTCTTTTTTAGTGATTTTCGTAAAACTGATGTTGACAAACTCCAATGAGTAGTTACGTTGTTATTATCTAGGACCTCGGTTCATAATGATCTTAGTACAGCCATAATCAGACAGTTATGCAGTGTTCATAATATTTGGTAAATTTTATGGACCACCACATAAATTTAACGTAGGGGATACATCTAATGCATAACATTGTTTTATGGGGCGGATGACGGAGCGGCACGGGCGGCGCAGTGGGTCAGGCGAAGCAGTACGGGCGGACCTTGCAATGTCGTGGCGTGACGCTCAGCTGATGGGCCGCCCGCCGCGCGCCTCCGCGCCGCGCCGCCGGCTGTCAAGTCGCGTCGTGCCGCCCCCTCGTTCATTGCCTCCGTGGCTGTCGGTGCGAGTGCATGTATTGTATGCTACAAGCGAACTTCAACTACGAGTCTACGTACGATGCGAAAAATAAATTTGCCCATTCATCGATCGAATAAAATGTGTTTATTATGGTGGATACGTTAAATTAATCGCAGAAAATGTGTGTGCGATGTGCGTTGATAAATTCTGGAGTGCGGTGACGACCGGTGCGAAAGGTCGGGCTGTGTAAAAATAACTGCGGAACCGGGCGGCTAAGCAGTGGAATGAGGTTTGACGGCACATTGTAGCCGAGGCGGGGCGAGGCCGTGTGCGCCATGTTATAATTTCCCTTCGCATCGAATGTGCAAACCGACTGACGACTAATGTGAACATTGCGCTGTGCCTACTTCTCTTTCTCTCGGTGCGAAAAGCGTATGTAATGTAAGTAGGTATGTGTGCAAAAAGCCGTACTCAAATATTGGCAACCTTGAATAAACGCGAAATTGTAAACAGTCGACTCAATGATATTATGGTTATTGGGATGATTGATATCATAATAAACAAGTTTTCCATTAGAAACGTTACAGTGGTTGTAAAACGAGATAATTTGATTCAGAGGTTAGGTACTTACCTACTTGCTAATGTTTGTTTGTTTTTGTTATTTTAAGATAAAGCAAATAATAAATTAGCAAATAATAAAATTGTTTTCAGTATCTATTTCTTGTTATTATTTTATTTCTCTGTTATTAATGTTAAAAATAAAATATTATTAACTCTTCTTTCTCTTTTAACTTTGAATCAAGCCTTAACTTATGAAATCACTTGATTCTATTAATTACTGATCAAACATGATCATAATTATATTATTTAAATTTTGTTGAAATACTTAATTAATTTCAATATGAAATGTCTATTTTTTTTTTAATATTTAAATTATGTACTAATCCAGTTTTACAAACTTTTATTGTATTCTATAACTTTAACGTTATCAATGACATGTTGTGATTTTGTCCAAAATAACAAGTTAGTTTGGTTGGTTGGTAACAAATAAAATCGGGCTTGGCGGTGTCGCTGACCCCACACGGCCCCGAGCCACTTGCCTAGAGCGCGCGAGCCGACATACTTTCTTGCTCGATTTAGTGCCAATACACAAAACACCACACATTACTCGTAATAATCGATTATAAAGAATAATTATTTAAAACAAATATTAGTAGCTATGGGTATAAGCGTAGGAAATTAAATTAAAAAATCACATATTTGCTGCCAATCTACTTAGATAAAAATTTTGGCGGATAGGTATAATTTATTATTTACTTGAATGAGGTAGTTACTATGAGGAACAGTCTTATGAAAACATTAGTTATTTTTTATTTATTTACGTGGGTTACCTAATTTTTTTTCTGTCAACACTTAAAAATAATAACATGGCAAACTTTTGTCGTATTAAATTATCGACCACGGTTTGATGACCTTGGATAAGCAACGTAGATGTCGAATCAACAATACCTAAACATATGAGTGCTACCGCCAATTTACATAAAATAATATCTAACCACATTTTCCTGAGCAATTATTAATGCCCAAATGGTTTTCCGATGAAAGTTAATCGCTATCAAGGTGACCATCGGTGTAAACGCGGCATGATACCTACAATAAATTCTATTATTAACGTATGCCATCATGCAATGGTTGGTCGCACACAGTGTTGAACGGCTACGATGAACTATTGATTGCAGGAAACCGAGTGGTGAATTCTAATTTGTTAGTAATTTAGAAACGTTTCTGCTAGAAAACGGAAATAAATTGCCACTCACCGTCTTGCACTCGGGCGTCCGCTGAGTTTCTCCTAGAATCTCCCTCGCGCTCACCTGCGAACATGCGATCAATACGCTCAATAATTTACTAATCTAAAACAATCAATTTGGCGAAACTGAGACTACCTATTCTTTTCTTATTATTACTTTGCTCTCCTTTAATACTACGAATCATTTTATGTATATTAATTCAAAAGTGAAGATCTATTATATAGAAAGTATGAGTTTAGTAAGTACCTATTTGCGTGACTTGTTCTATATCGTATCAAGCTATTTATACCCGCCCCGCCATCTTTGAATGACGAAATCTTGCTTCCACAGTCGTTCCTATCTACTTGCACGCCTACAAAACAAAATATATTGTCTATCTTATTACTCTTGAATCGAAAACCCATAAATCATAGGTGCATAAAACAAAATTACCTTTAAAATACGTTCATAAACTTGTGCTTCGAACAAATTCACTTGTTTAATGTGCAACGAAATAGTATAAATATAAAATGGTGCTCCGACTCGGCTAAGTAACGCGTCGATAGGACGACAGAGGGGAGCGGTGTGTGGAAGTAAGAAACGGATGGAGTCGAGACACATAATGGAATTACATATCTACTACATCACTTCGTCGAGAGTACGATATCCACATACGCGACCTCAACGCCCGACATTATGGGCGCGAGCTGCCGGTAGCGGGGCAGGTGAGCCCACTGAAATCGGCGTCGCCAACGTAACTATATAATAAGAAGGCGTCTTGTAATCGACTAGGAAGATATTAATACATAATTCTGATATTAATATCTCATCTTGTTATAACGGTAACAAAAACAATATGCCTGACGACACTTCCACAACCATGAACATTGCCGCATTGTCAATGTCCACCACCCTACTTAGAATAGTTTTACACACTTCGCGAACAGATATCGTATTTCGCCTTGATTGTCACGGGTCGGTGATCAATGTAACTACTGTCTGATCCATTAATTATTTTATTTATAAGTAGAAGTTAGATGAACAATATTGAAGCATAAAATAATTAATAGTTTTATTGTATTATTCTGTTTGAATAAGTAATTTATATTTTTTTCCATGACTTAAATCGGTCTGAATTTTATCATGTCACTGGGACAAAACTATGTGTTCAAATAACTACCGACTTAAGTCCCAATAACAAATGCCTCCCGTAATTTCATTTTTAAAACTTTAACAAGAAACATAAGAGTGATGTTATGTTTTGTGACATTGCTCAATACATACAAGTAGTGCAACATCTTCATGATGCTTTGACGATATTCAAAATTGTTAACAGGCCCAATAAAAAGTAGTAAAAAATGCATTTTAATAAAAAAGAATTGAGAAAAATAAATAGCGTAAATATTATTTTTTAAAGTTCTTTCTATTTAACTTACATAATTGACGACCTCCGTGGTCGAGTGGTTTGTACGCCGGGTGTCATGGTGTAGCCGACTCGAGAGGTCCCGGGTTCGAATCCCGGTGGAGGCAGATGTTTGTGTGATGAATACGAGCATTTGCACTTCAGTCATGGATGTTTAATATGTTTTTCTATATAAATATACTTATATATGTACAGTATATGTATTCTATCCGTTACCCTAGCATCCCATAACTCAAGCCTTACAGTGCTTACTTTGGGGCTAGGCTAATTGGTGTGTGTTGGAAATATTTATATTTATATATTTATAATTATTTGCCCTAGAACCAGAGACTTGTCAAGACGAATAAAAGGAGCACAAGCTCATACTCATCTTCCAACTCCATCGTGACGTCCTTGTCAACTTGGACCATAGTCCCTGTTAAGACGAATCAAATGAACTCTTTCTCCATAAAAATTTCGCCGTTTTACTATAGAATTTCTACTACTACCTAAGACATCGACCTGGTTCCAATATCAAATATCGTCTAATATCAGTTACCTTGTCAAAACATCTATCAAACGAGTTCAAATTAGATGAGATTTTGTAGTTTTATTAAAAAGTTGTATGACCATGGTCAGCTGGAATTTGTTCAATGACCACCTTCCAGCTACATTTACAGATCCTGGATCGTCACCTAGGACCAGAGTTCTTTTCAAGACGAAACAAATGAACACAAACTAAATAAATAGGGATGATGACGCGGAAAACAAAAATATATTATATTTATTCCGTCAGTTATATTGTCAAAAAAAAGTATATAGACAATTCTGAACATTTTAATTTGCTTAAAAGTATGTCAAACACTATCATGTATGAGATTGAGCTATATTATAACGGTGTCGCACTGTTCAAACTATGTTACAATAACGACAGTAATAAAAAAATACCTGTATACCTTGTCATTATTTAAGTTACCATTCAAGAAACTTCCGTCAAAGGACGGGAAAAGAACCAATTTATTATCTCGAACTCCACCGTGCTTCGGAAGGGAATTTGTTGGTCCCAGTTGCATACGGCCGGTCAAAGGATGGGGAAAAAGAAACAATAACTCTCTCGAACTCCTTCGTGCTTCGGAAGGAAGAGAAGCCGTTGGTCCCGGCTGAATCTGCAGTCGTAATAGAACCCACCAATCCACACTGGGCTCGCGTGGTGGGTCATGGACCATTCTCCCTATTACATCCATAAGGAAGGCCTATATGTGTTCTTGCAGCGGGCGATTAATGGACTGATGATGATACATTCATGATTTTGTAACGACCACCGTGGTAGACACTTGAACCTTTACTGTGCCATCTCAAAGATCTAACGTGTTAGATATATTAAGGAACAAATACCTTGGCGCCTAAGAAGCGCGCTTCCAGCAGCTCTTGTTTGCGAGGGTCCAGCGCCGCCTGGAAGTGCTCCATCTTGACGCCAGCACCTGATAATAGAAAACAAACCAGCTGAAAATATCAACTCGCAACAAGTTTAAAGATTAGGCATTTTTATTACTTATATTTCATAGCCTTTTTAGAGTTCCATACCCATTGGGTAAAAAGCGGCCAAGTGGATTTGGACTTGCCCATGAAGGGTAGCCGTAGCAGCAAGTAACATAATATAAAAGTTCTTGTAGTTCGTTGTAACATTGAACGATGTTTTATTACTGCTGTATTTTTTTTAAGTTATATGATTTTTTTTTCATTTTATATGATATTTGAGTTGATAGAAGGAAAGGGAAATTGCGGTTTACGATTCATGACGTATTAAAAAAAACTACTTACTAGATCTCGTTCAAAACAATTTTAGAAACCTCAGCATTTATTGTTTTTTTCTATTTTTGTGTGAAGAATATCAATTATATTTCTTTATTTAAATATTCTAAACAAAAAATAACGAGTGTGCTTATGACCACACAACTGAAGTGAAACTTCTTTCATTTACTAGCTGTAAGAGAACGAGAGAAAGAAAATGTGTGCGCGCACTGCTCTCTTTTTCTCCTACACTGTGATACAGACAATAGGCCTGTGCTTAGATAAACGGAATGTATTTGGCTATGAGAGGAAGAGAGAAAGAAAATGTGCACGCGCACTGCTTTCTCTTGCTTATATCCCCCACTCAACTCCAGTTCGCCTCGCCCGATTACACTTTTCGTAACGCTTACGTTTGGCAGCTTACTCCCCAAGTCAAGCGTGGGTAAAGAAGTTTCACTTCAAAAAGGATAAATAAAACGTTTTATTATAATTGCGGGCATAGAACAATTGTAAATAGTCTGAAACATTTTTACCAACCACCGTAAATGACTACGAAATAATGATCATTCGTTATTTCGTAGTAATTTATTGATTTTGTGGTCTTCGATGCGAGATGTTTTATTTTTGTATGGATGGATGGATGGATTATTTTCCCCAAATCGCCTATTCAGAGTTTGTATGATGAATACGAGCATTTTTACCAATATATAAATAACATTAAATTCATAAAGTTAACATCTGTAAGACCTGTGTTGTGAGTGACTATCTCACTGTAACAGGGATTGCCCTCTTTCATTGCATCTAAAAAACTAAAAGGAACTTAATGGGCTGCGCAAAAGAGGAATTTCGGTCTGCGGACTATTTTTTTTATCAAAATAGATCCCATACAAAAACTTTTCTATGCAGCACTCTTAGATTAAAAAAGGGAATATATTTTTGTTCATATTATCAGTTATGTTATATATAATTACTTAATCTTATATAAATTAACTCATGGTTTGAACATATATAGCATTTGCATTGAAAAATAAAACATTTATAAATCAATTGTGTAGAATATCGATTCCTATAGAATCGAATCGAAATATACCATAAGCAAGTGAACGTCGCTGTCAACTTCTATATCCAGTATTTATTATTATTATTTTTTATCTTCTTCGCACGTCTTGTGCATTTAGCCAATGTCAAGTGTTAAAATGTTAACAAATACTATAGCACTCGTGGTCAAAGTAATAAATCAAGTCAAAGTAAGTGGCAGTCAAGTCAATCCCCCTTTCCCTATGTTCCAGTAAAAGTGTGGGGATTTACTGGAACCTCCCCGTGGACTTCTCGAGGGAAAGACACTTTCTGCTATTTTGTTTCACTCGCCAACACTTGTGCATGTTCCCGAACACTTAGTGGTTAATAATCCACCATTATTAGACACAAACATCCGCCAGAACACAATTTTTAACAAGAAAAATAAAACTGCTAAAGTGACGCTTTCCGATCCCGCCTTTTCGGCGGTTCCCATTTCCAGTATTAGTTGTGTTTGTTTGTTCAGAGTGACTTACTACATACAGTTTTCACTTTTGAACTGAATTTGTGTTTTCAGTGGTCTATTGTGGAAGAATAGTTCTAATATTGAGTTGAGTAATCCTCCGTTAATAACTGTTTTATGGAAAAGAGAGAATTGGACTCGTTGATTTAGTGTTATGTTACCTTTAGTGATTCTGTGACAAAGATATTTGGACTCTTAGTTTATTGCAATTATTTTTGTTTGGCATCTGGTGTTACACAATAAAAAGCTGGCAGTATGTATGTATAATGTTGATTTGGATAAATGTGTTATCAATATATAATAATTAAGTATCATTAGGTATTAAAATATTTTTTCATATTTATTTTTGATTCCTAAACCTTAAATAATATTATATCCATTGTTGGGTTGACAGAGAATCAAAGGTGCAGCTTGAGCGTAAAGAGAATAAGTATAATATAGCACACATATAACCGCACCTCAACAACGCCACATTTATTGAATTTGAGATGTTTGAAATAAATAGAGATACCTAGATAGCAGCTCACCAACGCAACAGTTTACGAATATACGCTGTCCGTTGATAGGATTTTACGAAGTGTATTAAATTTTTGTTTCACTCTCAGTCCAAAATAGAAGACAAAAGGTCACACACAACTTAATTAATTAAATACAGTTTAAAGTAGTATACCTAGTAATATTTAAGTCTGGTATAAATATCGAATTTAATCGAATCTAAATATGACATAACCTTAAAATGCTTACGTAATTTAATATTTTCTTTAAACCACCACTTAAGTTTCTAATGATATTTTGCCTACGCAATATACACCTAATTCCTTATTGTTTAACACTTATTCCAATAAGACGCAATGAAAAATTTTTTTAGCCCAACTCCCCTATTAAAATGACCATTCTCCTTTAGTATTTCATGTAGAATAATTGCCCAAAGCCGAATATTTAGTTAGAAATTCTATTATATTATTTTCATCCCATATTATGTATGGGAAGAAAGGACGAATTTTTTTTTCCTTAAATCTCCCGACATGTGTTACATCATTGTCTAGAGCTCGTTTTATTGAATATAAATATAATTTATATTTTCAATAACAAAGAAATGCAAGAAAGTTGTCTTTTTTAGACCATTTTTGTTACGGTTACATCTCAAAATTTAAATTAGTTAAAAATGTGAAATTTTGGTGTTTGATGTCTCATATGCTATATTTAAACAAAAAGTACTGAAAACGCTGATTCATTATGTACTTTGTAAGTTGTGATGAAAACAAATGATTTTTCCTTTCGCGTTTTGTTGTACGGAACCCTTCGTGCGCGAGTCCGACTCGCACTTGGCCGGATTTTTTTATTATTGAGAACAGTAAAGCCTATATCACACATGTTTAAGAGATTAAAATAAAATATTTTTTTTACTATATATTTCACTTATCAAAATATTTATGCGAGGATAACAAAAAAGTGTTTACATATTTAAAAATAAAATTTGTTAACTCTTTTATTAACCCTTTTTAATTGTGTTTTGGTGCTTGTAAGTGTGCAATTCTCTTAAAGGTAGAATATTAAACTGGGATTGAAAAGGTGTCTCCAACGAATATGATGTAAGTTTCTACACATCCACTACATTGTGAACTGAACCCATCCACAGTCCTTAGTTGAGCACTTCCAGTTTCAGGGTTTTTACGAAAAGCGAGAAATAAATCAACCCCTATTGGATCACTTTGTCGTCCATAATCTTTAGCAGAAGTGGTCAAAACCAGAAATAGCCGTATGCAGAAGCAGTTATTTCAAGAAGTGGACTCCAAACGTAAAACCCAAATAAACCTCAACAACACAAAAGCATTTACCACAATAAATAGTGTTTCAATCGACATCAGTTTTTCAACGTGGAATAAGATCAGCCAGATAATTTGAGGAAATTTAAAAATATGTTAAGTGATTTGGTTCCTTACAGTTGAACAATCTGAAAGTTTAATGAATCTTAGGCCGACTTGCAGCTTTGCTAATCTCTTTTTAACTAAAACTAAATAATCTAGTTTAGCCCATGGATAAATGTCAAAACGTCAATTTGACGTTCTTGTATGGGGTAAATCTTGTTTGAGTTAAATTGAGATGTAGCAAAATAGCTGCAAATGGAACTAAGCAGGTAACTTAAAATTGATAAGAGACTAGTTGGTAATCAAAAGTTGAATGTTACATTTATTTTGGAAATGCATCCCATAGAGCAGTTCGAGATGAAATTTAATAATAATCATAATCATAATAATAATCAATATCATTTATTTAGTTAAGGCAACAAGCACTCATGAATGTCTAGAAGCTACGCCATCGGTTCGTAAATCTACGGTGGGAGACCTTGTACTGAGAAGAACCGGCAAGAAACTCAGCAAGGGCTGTTTTTTTCTCCCTGTTTTATTATTTACAGAGTCGTCAAATTGAAAAATGACTTCAGAGGTGATTCATGAAGTCACTTTTCATTATATAATTATTAAATATACATTAATTGTTTACCTGTATTTTGATTGCTGTGTCATACAGTATAAATACAAATAGTGTTATTTATATTCAGTGTGACTAAACATTAACTTCAATATTAAGGAAGTTAGGGCAGACTCATCTCCGCTGGCAGCACCCGTTCACGAGCATGACGCATGAACCAGTCATCGCTTCGCTCAACCATATTTTAGGGAACGTAACGACCCGCCTCATACGACACCGCCGAAGAGACTATTATGAGAGCATGACTACCCATAAGTACCCATACTAAGTACAACATATTTACTTAAATTAAGGTCATTTACCTGTAAGACACAACAAACAATTACAAAAACAAAGCAAAGGAGAAATCACGACCACGCCGTTTTGTCAATCAAATATTCTTAAACAGTCTGATAATCTTCCTTAAGTTATCAACTTTATATACAGCTTTCAATTTAATTATAGTATTGTCAACACATAATTCATAATTTAAATAATATAGAAATACCTACCCGTTGGAATGTTTGGAACAGTTCATACCCAAGCATTTTTGTCTGTAATATAATCAGACACTTTATAATATGCTTTCTTAACTAGTGATTTTTTAATGGTCGATTTAAATTTAGTCATGCTTAACTCTTGAATATTGCTTGGAACTTTATTGTAAAAGCGAACACTAAG